AGTTAATTGCTACCTATAAAAGAAGCAAAGGGTTTGTGGTACAATAGTGCCCCTTGCTGGGTGATGCGAAAACACAACCAGGAACCCTCCTAACCCTTCAAAAGAGCATGAAATGATGGAAAAAACTGATAAAGAAAATAATGACAACTAGAGTTTCTCAAGTCCAATTCTGTTCTGTCACACCAAATCTACAAAAAGAAAACTATACCAGTGACTTCATAATTTAAACAGCTTTACCACTGGAGCTACATTTAGAAAGAATAAAAGATGTTTTATTCAATATAACGCAGTACTGATAGCATACATAAGACTGGACTGAAGGCGGATAATAAATAAAGCCTGTTAGCACAATTCATGGTTAAAGGAATGAAATGGTTTAGAAACATCCATTTTGATCTGTGATGATACTCAAAGAAATGCTAAATATGAATCTTTCACATATTAAAACATTTTGCCCTACTGATCATGAAATAAAAGTGCAACAATACATGCATGCTAAAGACAATGTGTGCGTAAAATGGAAAGAATGCATTCTGGGGATACAGCTGGGAAGAATAACACTCTTGTCACACGTTTTCAGTGTCTGTCATCCTCTATTACTAGAATTCAGTTGACAGGAAGCAACCATGATCAGGCAGACTGGACCATTAAAGAGCTGTTGCTTTCTTATAGCAACAGCTGTGGCTGCCAACGTTGAGCTGTGGAAAGACACCGATATACTTCGCAGGCATCTCTGGGAGACAGATTATTGCTTAATCCTTCCACAAAACACTCCTTCCCACAGAGCCAGGGCCTGCTCCAGACTTTCTTACAGGCTGTGTCCCTGGGTCTCATCGAACTGGACTTCATGTGACTTTCCTGCCAGTACTATATCCAGGAAGAATTTTCTCCATTTCATGTCAAAAAGAACCGAAGAAAATACCAAATGTCAAAGGGCCTGGGAATCAAGCATTCAGATACTAAGAAAATTAGGAACAAAGCTAAAGAAATAGAAGCCGTTAAATTAGCATACAATTATGTCAGACACAGCCAACCTTGTAAGCAGTACTCCATGCCATGGAATAGATTATGGGACTCTGAATCTTTCAATACATTGATGACCAAATTGCTCCTTAATTGCTTAATTAACCCAGAGCTGAAGATCGCTTTTAAACTGAAAATACCAACAAATTCAAGTATCAACGGAATCGCCTTATGTAATTTCATCAGGAACGCGTGAAGGAAAAAGTGGCTGTTCTGGGAGATTTTATTTGTCCTCACACAGATTGAGGGAAAAATCCATCAGTGCTTTTTCCACCTCTCCCATCTTTTCCGTCGCCCTAGAATGTTAAAGGGATGCATGCTCAACTGGGAGCAATATAATTAGTGGAGATAACAAGGATCTGTATTAGGATAACTGCTTTTCATAATCTACATCAATTATCTATATTCTAGTATGATGTACTTAGGAAACAGCAAAAGTCTCACAATATAACAAAATAGGAGGATTAGCAACCTGTATAACCTGCAAAAGAAACTAAAAGGGATTTAATGCAAGACTATACAAACACTTGACAGCAGATTTTTAACACAGAGAAGTGCAGAGTGCTGTATACAGGGAAGACCAAGACTGAAGACGGTGACATAACATTGTAATGGGCACATGATGTGGCAAGGAAGATATTGCTTCTCTGGCAATCGGTCAAGAAAAGATCCAAGATCAAACTAGTACACTGCCCAGGTAAAAACAACGTCCAACACCGACAAGCTAAAATCAGTTGTTCTCTTTTGTGCAGAGAAGATTGTGAAGGACTTCTTTATGAGTAATGACAAAGTCACACCAGAGAACACCTGTGGAAGCTACAGTGAAGTGCATTTAAAATCGAGAACAGGAGGCACTTCTTCACTGAAAGGATAAGGGAGGGGGGGTGGTTATTGGAACAAGATACCCAGACATGCTGTTGAAGCAGAGATCACTGCTTCTTTTAAGAGACAGCAGGGTGATGAAATGCTAAGATCAGTTAGCTACTTGCAATCAAACTACGTGGGCTGCACAGCCTCCTCCCTTCTGTAGCCTTTTTCATGTTTCTCGTGTAATTCCGTCGTCACTGAAGTCAATATCAATCGCCTACAAATATCACTGGTTCAGTAACCGCTTCATGGATTTAAGGAAGAAACATTCAGGTGCATTATCTGCTGGACTAACTTCCCAGACAAACCTGTTCACCAATAACAAATTGTCTGTCAGAACAACTTTATTCTAACCACCTAATATTAACCTTTTCGCAAAAAGCTTTTCTAAAACGTTAAATGTCAAATGTGTAGGTTGTGAATAACCCAGATGTATAAATCTACACGACTTATTCGAACTAATCTGACTAACGCATTCAACTGCAGGGATGAGAGGGAAAGCTCATCACTCAAAAGAAAACAGCTACAGAACTGTGGGGCAAAGAAATGTGATTCTGGTCTTTGCATTGTCATATACTACTAAATTCAGTTTGCACAAGCTGAAGTTAAACCACACTAAGAGACAGAGATGATTCAAATATATCCCAATATTGCAAGTTGACATAATTAGGAGCGTAACTGGTGCCATCATGGGTTTATACAAAAAAATCTATTTAGTTAACCACACATGGCTAACTCCCACCTGCACAGCTCACAGCAAGGATGAGACCAGATGAATGTTAAATTTAAAAACCAGGGATAACTACCTACTGAGCAGCAGCTTAAAGATGATATCAGTTGAAAGTGTATAGTGAGTGATACACCCCATTATAGCATTAGAGTTTACATACTAAGGGGGGTTTAGAGAACACTTTTTTATACAATGAACGAAAGCAAACTTAATACCTGCACACTACTATATGAAAAATGTGATTTTGTGTTAATAAAGTTTACCATACTGCAACAGAAAACCCCTACTGTGCAAAGCCTTAAAGAACAAACATGCAGAATTTAAAGAACAGCAAAATAAGAACGCTTTGAGAAAAAAAACTTTAATGTTTTTATAAAGTTCACTGAAATTTTACTCACATGTACAGTCTTGAAAAGATAACCAAGAAATATAGTATATACAAACACTGCAAGTTATTACACAGGAAAGCAAATGTTGCACATTGAGGGATCAACTCCATGTACTGATTGGGAGGTCAGAACAGAATCTTCTTGGTTATGAATATCCAACCAGAAAGAGCTTTTCAGCAGAAGAATCTCTGGGAAGGCCAATAACTTATCGGTCGGCATCAAGTTGCAGCAAACTCACCGTTTTCACGTTCAAAAGACTATTGCTTCAGTGAACTCAACTCTTTTTGAAATACAGTGAGAATTAAAAACTGCCCAGTCAATATAAACCCCCCTAAATTTCCAGCTTAAAAACAGTATTTCACAGCAAACACTTTTGTAAAGTGGAGCCGACACATTTTCACCCAAGACGTTCAGTGCTCTTTGAAAACAAAGAGGGGGGAAAAAAGTACTTACACTTGTCCAGTTTTGTCAGCCCTGACTACCTCTCAGTAAGCCAGTATTGGATATGCCTAATATTTAAGAATATTCAGTGTTGATTACTGGCTGATACAGGAACCATTCAGGTAAGTCCAGATTTAATTTCAGGTTTTATCATTTGTGCCCAGGCCCTAAAGCTACAGAGATTCACAGAAACCATGTCTTTCCCACAGGCACAGGTCCACATCCATCCAAACCCCTTCAAATTGAGTCGGAGCTCGTTTTAAATTCTGAAATTGACAGATGACTGTTAAATGCAAATTCCCCACATCTGTAAGGTGTCATAAATGTAATAGAAAATTTGAACTTTTGCTGCAGGAGAAAGAAAAATGCCTAAATTAATTGACAGATTGTATCCAGTCTGCAAACGTCTCAAGCCATTTAATTATTCGGAGTATGTTAAGAAAATGCAAGGATCAAAGGTAATCTATAAGTGATTTTTTTTTAGTCTCCAGATGTCCTGCATGTAGCTCTGCAATTGTTTCACTTGTACCTCTTGCTCCTGTATGCCTATCAGAGGACTTAATGTTAGTCCACAGGACCACAAATCAATGCAAGATCTGAAAGTGGATTCTCAGGTCAATTCCTGTTACCGACAGCTCGAGATTCTCCAAGGATTACGAAAAAACAGTTGAAATGTGTGCCGCACATTTTGGCTACCAGCTAATGCAATAGCCCCAAAACAACTGGGTAACACTTTGAATTGTGCCCATGTATCAGCCACAGAATACACACTCATTCACTCTAGACTTTAAATCACAGTGTAACAAGATCACGGCACGTACATCACCTAACCATGTGTTTGGTAGTGCTGTCTCAACCCACATTTTATGTTTGGCATTTTAAATGGCGTACAGTAAGTGGCTTTTAATTCAGGTCTCTAGAACGTTCTGCTTAATGCTCCTCTTAATGGACGCTTACAAAATGCTCTATTACCCCAGATTTTTAGAGTCAAAGCCTTTGGAAGGTCTCATTTTCTTTTCCTGTAAATAACGATGGCCTAACCCGAGACGGCCCTATACTGGTCCCACCAAGCCATGAACACATACTTTCCAGCACCCCCGATATGCATATCTGGCTCCAGTCCCTTCTGAGCTTAAGTGCTGATTGCTGCTCCACTCCCAGCTGCTCCTTTCTCCTCTGACAGGCTGACCTGAGTGTGAGCAGGACTTCCTTGCATGCTATTTTGACATGGAAATCCCAGAGGGCCAAATCCATAGCCTAGCTCTAGGGAAGGAGACAGCACCCTCAATTAGCCTAAAGCAGGGCTACAATGCCTCTTTATGACAACACTTGGCATCAGAAGTTTCCAACAAAACTTGAAATGCAGGCATTTCCTTGTAGCAGCACATTGCTTCCATCCTAGCAAGTGAGAACTGAATCTGAACGCATTCAAATCCATTTTTTACATGGATTTCTAGAGCTTTTTGAAAACCAGAAGGTCCATTTGCCAGCAAGGTTCTTACAATTTCGACACCACATCTCTCCACTACCAAATAAAAAAGGCAAATGAATCCTGTGGTAGCATAATTTTATTTTTATATACTTTAGGAAACAATATACAAAGCTGAGCTCGCCCACCATTTCTGACCAGTGGTGTGCTCTAGTTACACATTGTGATGGTGGAGAACAGCAGGCAGCACCGGACTTGCACAGTTCGCTACAACACATACAAACGACCATTAGAAAGGAAAAAAAAGCCAAGACAACAGGGCAATCACAGGAGAGAGGTCCGACTCATCCTTGTTGAATTTCCTTTTCCTCCGATTATAAAAATTAGTACTGTCTCTTAAAAAAAAATAAGCGAGGTTTAAAGATTTTCAACAAGGATAGTTCAAAATGAAGTATTCCCTGGGCATTCCAGCTTCTTAAAAAGCAGTAAAGAAAATGAAAAATAACCAGTGCTTTTTTTTTAGCATATTTATTACAATACATACATTTTCACATTTGACCTTTTGTCTTCTCAACACCCCTACCTTGCTGAGTGGACCTTTATCACCTAGGCTCCTTATCAGTGCCCAAAACAAACCCCAAAAGCACTTCCATTCCAACCTTACAGGATGCAAATGAAAATATGTAGTAATAATTTATGTATACAACGTATTGGATATACTAGTAATCACTGCAACTTTAAAACTTTATTTTAGGAACTGTACACAGGAATGAAATCTTGGGTTGACCCAAGGTGCCTTGAAAACAACCTCAAAAGTGTTAAAATGTACAGTTTAAAAAAAAAAAGACTGAAGAAAAAACAAAATGGAGGGGGTTAAAAAAGATTTGCCCTGCAACAAAGATCCGGTATGTAGCGCTGTTCTTACAAGGTGGCTGGAATCGGAATATCCCTTACTTGTGTGTTCTTGGACCACACTGTTCAAGGTGCTGCAGCTTTAAATGCACACCATCAGGCACTGGTATTAATTCTAGGAAATACAGGATCACTGGATGGTAAAAATAGATCCTTGAACCATTGCAACCCCACATGCTAGATCTTCCAGAGGTTTCCTTGAGGCCTCCATCCTCCTGCTACCCTCCTTTACTCAAGACCACCTCACAGCTTACTCAAAATTTACAAAAGGATCCTGCTTTACAATGCAATCAACAGCTAGCATGTCACCCCCCCCCACCCCACACATTTTAGTTCCGCCCCCATCCCATCGCAAGTTCTACTCAAGCTAGAGGCAATGGCTCATGGATCTATTCAGAAGAAAGCTAAAGTTTGCAGACAGGTTAATATGTAAAAGGCTAGGTACGTAGCCACCTCAGAATTGATTAGTTTGGATGTCAAAGCTCTGATCGCCACGGATTCCCCATGGCTTCACTCTACAAAACATATTTACAAACATGAAGGATACATCTACAAGAAATCTACATGTCGGGCTTTACAAATCTTGTATTACCCTTTAAATCATCTCCCCCTCCCCTGCCTCACTTCCTCACCCAGCCCAACGGTCCAAAGCCAACTGAACTGCAGCTCAAAAGTGTTAAGACTGGGCACAGAATAACAGTTCTTGGGTTCCAACCATGTGCAACGTGTTTCTCAAGTTCTCAAACCATAAAGGAATTCTGATTCTTCAACTTTTCAAGTTCCTTAATTTGTTGTCTCAAAAATAGTATCCTGGAAGAAGAAAGAGAACAGATTCGCATGAGCTAAAATATAAACCTTTAACAGAAGCAAAACAATCTTAACTGGAGAAGCATTTTATGTTAAGAAGGCACTTTGACAGGTGTGTATTTTAGATTAGTTTCAAATTAAAAAAAGCAGGCAACAGGAACGTATGCACAAGACCAAGGACAACTGAACAGGAGATCCTACTTCACATTAGAGGACAAACCCTGCCCAAATTGAAAACAAGCAGTTTTTGTAATAGAGGAAGCCAACAGAAAATGTACTTTCTGAACAGAAATTAACTCATACAAATCCATCTAACTTGTCGGAAAATAAGACAATGAGAGATTTGCTAAGTGTGTGGAAAATGTTGAAACACTCAGCCCCCTTACTGCAATCTTTAATATAGAGCACAAATACGACTGCCCAGCTTTAATCACATAACAATAGCTTGGCTTAAGACAGGGGAAGGGAAGCACTCTGGGAATGCTCCAGATGTACTATTAGCTGACAGAAAGTACCTATGATAAGTTTAACCCAGTCAAATGCACATACCAACCCCACTTTTTAATTTTAGATATAAAGCAATTAGCTAGCTGACATTTAATAGCAACAGTCACTACAATAGTGGCTATAATGCAACTATCTAGTCACACTATAAGAATCCTTCCATTTCAGATAAGTATGCAAACCCTATTAAGGGTATTTGTCAACTATATTATTCCACATTACAGCCAAAATGTACAAAACATATCTAAATTAGTGATTGTAGCTTTTAAGTGTTTTTGCATACATACTCTGGAGCGATTCAAGAGAGTGAGTACTAAATGGCACCAGTTCGGTTTTTAAAGTCATAATCCACGCAGTTTCATAAGTATTTCACTTCCATGTTGGAATGTAAAATAAAAAAACAGCTGTGGATGTTTAGCAATCACAATTACACCACTATCCAAACTTACCTAAGACAACATAAAAATTTAGCAAATGAGAAGGACCATTAGGACTGTCTAGCTAGTTGGATTTCTAGCACATTCACAGCTTTTGTTGCAACATATTGGCCTGTTAATGTTGATATAGTATAATATTGATGATAAAGGTTTCTGGTCTTTTCCCAACTTTGTTTTATCTCTTTTTATCTCTGTCTCCATAATACATACTCATAAAATGATCTCTCGCGATGCATACACTATTAAGACAATTCTTACCTTTGCTCACGCAATGTAGCTTGAATTTCACATACTCGAACAAGTGATCTAAGATTTTTTAGCTCGGTACAAATTTCTGACATATAAATGCTTCCCATGTTGTGGGCCTCTTCACGTAATCTTGATGCCTGAAATAAAGTCATTCATCACGTTTTAGTTCGATTGGCTGGGGAACCACAAAGCAGAGCGTCTACTCGCACGTACTGAGAGTTGGAAAGTCGGCATCTACTGTACCTGTTTCTCTGCGTGGTCTGCTGGCCACCCTTGAACATGTTTGATGAGATTTTCATTGAAGTGTGCTGCTAGCGTGGGTGTAAATGTACATGTGGGCCTCGCAGGTGCACTAGGTGGAACTGAGGCTGTACTCGATGACACGTTGCTGCTAGAGATGTGATTTGGACCTGGTGAAGGACTCCTCTGACTACTAGGAGAAAAAATAAGGATCAACATAAATGAAGAAATTAGGTTCCATGTAAGAATGTCTACATTTTGAGAAGGTAAGACAGTGAACGTGTAAAAATGGTACATCTAAGAACATATGACAATACAGAACCCAGAATAAGAAAAACTTTTTTGCGATCTACAGATTTAAAACAGTATACTTGCTCTGTGGACAGGTGTTCTTGATCATACATTTTAAAACGTTTGGATAAGTTACTGCATTAGAGAGATAGATGCTTATTAAAGTACAATTATGCTATTTGAGTATGAACACTTGCAAGATGGGGTTTCTTCAGATTTGTCATAATTTGTCCTTCATCTAAGGTATGAAGGACTGAAGCTAAGTGAAGAACGTCTACTGGGCACATTTAACTGCATGCAGCTAAAAAGTGTACCAGAGGGTGGTGCTATAACACAAGACTTGAGATAATATTGAGATGATTAAAGGCATTTTATAAAATCATTAATACAAACCAGAAATAAAAAATACAGAAAAACAATTAAGTATATCTATCAAACCAACACTGAGAAAATAAGACTTTTCTGGGAAAATGATTTTTTTTGTAAAGCCAGCATTTTTTAAAACCAGAATTAAAAACAAGTGCTTTGAGAACCTACTTTTAAAGGCAAAATCTAAAGTTTACTTCTTCTGAGACATCCTCTTGACATTGGTTTGAATAATTTTAGTTTTTTGTTGAAAAGTACATTGACATTTAAAACACTCGTACTGGTTCATGGTTAGTATCACCAGATGAATTTCTGGAGTGTTACGCACTAACCTAAAATGGTAACAGTAACCCATTTTACCTTGATCTCTGAAGACTCCGAGGAGAGACAGGTTCGTGCCCATGTTGCTTGTCAGCAGGAATAGGCTGCTGAGGTACTGGCTGTGGAACTGGTCCTGGTTTCACTACTGGTGTACTAACCTGTACCAAGACAAGAAAACCGTATTTCAAAGGCGAAATTTTTATATCTATTGAAAGACTCCTAGATCAAAAGTGATTAAATGCACAATACTAAATATGTGGAACACGGTCCCTAAACACTGTTGAGACCATCGCATAAAGCAAAATGTCTAGGATCATAGGAAAACATAACAGTTAGCAATTTCCGAATGTAGAGAATGCCTCACCTTTGGCTGTGATGATACAGGCGGTGTGTTTATCAGAGGTTTTAAGGGAACTGTATTAGTCTGTGGCGTGCTTATTCTTGGAGACACGTATGACCTTGGTGATGAGGCATCTGACGTTAACGACATTGGGGACTGATTAGACTGCTGGGCTGTTTTTTGGATTGAGAGAGAAAAAAACAATTCAGCACACCTAAACAACTTTTTGTGTCCACTCTTTAACACAGACCACCTGTGACCCCTAATTTTAAAGAATTGTTGTTGGGGTTTTTTTTTTTACCAGAGATGGGAGAAAAACTACACTTCAAACAGTGCTTACGAATGTTACGAGAATGCTGTTTTTCTTCTCAGCTAAGTTCTGGATCGCTCCTTTTTACACCACACTGCAGAGAATAGGAATTAAATGGCCAACGTGCCCTTCTGTGTTAAGTGTGATTTGCTTGATTAATAGAAAGGGTTAGTTTTGTTAAGTAGCCATTAGCTGCAGCACTTACTTGAACAGGGCTTTTCTGTTTAGTTTGGCATGGAGTTCTCAGACACGAAACTGAAAGTCCTACAACTTGTTTGATTATTCAGTCCTCTGTTAAAGTCAAACCAATGCAGCTTTAACACGTTGCACCCATGAAACCATTCAAAGTCCCCCAAAAAGTGACTACTGAAGAAGTTGGGGGAATAGGGGCAATATTTTTTTTGTAGTTTTAAATCCTACACAATGTGAAACATGCCATCCAACAAGAGCCTCAATTACGCACTTTGATCTTTTTTGGGGGGAGAAAAAAAGATGTACAAGGATAACATGTACAAAGTCTCATTCCAGTGCTGGATTGTTTCTGCAACAGAGTAAGGACAGTGAATACTACAATTTAAACGTGAACAATTTCAATGGCAGCCATACCTTGTGTAGACAGCTGAGCAGCTTGGGAAAGCAAAGTAGTGATGTTGAAAGCAGATGGTCCAGCTGTGAGAATCTTATGAAGCATAGACTGTAATGAAGCTTGTGTGACAGCAGCTGTAAGAACTAAAAGGGGGAAAAACAAAACACAGAAAAAAAAAGAGATACATAAAGTAGATTGTGCTTCACAGGTCAAGCAGCCTTCTACATTACAGAGTTATTAGCTGAGAACAGAGTTTGGTTCACTAGATTTAGACGGCATAGATTTTCAACCTTTATCAAAACGTGAAAATCGACCCTTACTGCATTTCAATAAACACGATCAAATAGGCAAAAATGTCATTAATGGAAAAAAAATGTCCTTGAGTGTTTTTAAGGACTAAAATTGTTTATCGCAGCATTTAACCTACAGAAAGCAATGACGACTGTTCTGGTATATATATATAAAAAAATATCTTTCAGCTAGAAAGTGCTGACTGGCTTTTGCTGCATGATCTGTGTTCGCTTTTTCCCCAAGGCTGTCCAGGACTCAAAACTGTGAGCTGACAAGGAAAAGGCTACTGCTGCTGTGATGCTGTTATCCAGACACAGCCAGGAGCTTTTCTCACGAGCAGTGAAAGTAGTACATGTTACACAGTCTTTGAAGAGAGCAGCGATCCAGCGAAACAGCATGATTGTTTGGACTTAACCCCAAGGCACTTAATATTAAGTGCATTTTTGCCTCTTCGCCAAAATGTCACATTGTAATAAGACCAAAACCAGCCTCAACTCATTCGTGAAAAGTGACTGGCTAGAATTCACTTCCAGGGACAAGACAAAACAGGAATTGTTTTTAAAAAAATTACTTTAAAAAGCTAGTGATCGGATGCTCTTTAATATTGAGTTTTGCAGTTTAAAGCTGTGCTGTATATCTGCTTTACTTAAACACTCCATGGCAATCTCTTAATGTTCCTGGTGTTTAGTTTCAAGTGAACGGTCAAGTCAATTAAAGAACTGAAAAGCATTTCCCAGGAGTTCCTGGCAGGCCTTTAAAAACAGCTGGAATCTAAAGTGCTTATTTTCCAACATTCATATATTAACGCAAGTATACGAACATTTGAGAGACTAACTGCTTCAAACCAACAGGTTCACTGTACTGTAACAAACAGAACTTTCTATGCCATGATGCCTTAGCAATGTCTTGCCTTCAAGCAATCCTTTATCTCAGAAGGTTTTAGCACTAATTGTAAGCCTTCTGAGGTTGTCCTCTATAGATCATTAACTACAGATGTGTTAATTTCTGTAACCCCTGCAGGTCCATTAACACGTTCAAGACGAAGCTTTATGATTCGACCTTCCACGTGATGTTCAGATTTCAACCTCTCCAGATGTGTGCCAGTTACTGCTACACACTGAAAACCACACAGCAGCAAAGTACATCTTTAAAGGTCACAGTTTACCGTCCATCAGTAAACTTTGCTGTCCTGTTTCGTAAATTCATTCATTTTGACTAAGTGAGTCATCCCTCTGGGGTGTCATTCAAGTTTCTATACCTCTACACATGGCCCAATCTTTCCACCACGACTTCTTGTGAATTCCACCATTTCTTTCCATGGTGCTTGCAAAATTTGAATCGGAGAACACATTAGTACTTTCTAGGGTTCCATCATTAGCACAACAGTACCAAAGTTGTTCAAAATTTGCCTTAAATGCATTAACTGTATTCCTGACAACTTACATTAACATTAAAGTACCCACTGGGTTTCATCCAATAATAGTTATTCCACAAACTGTAACCTTCAATCACCTGAGAGACTACAGATCACAGTTTTCAAAGGGGTTTTGTAATGGGTAGATTTGATGACTACTCATGATAAATGGATGAAAATGGAATTTCAATGCACTGATGAACGTAATTCCACTTCCGTTTGTGTGCTAATCTCTTCACCTGATTACAAGATGAGCAATACATGATCAAAGAGCCAAGATAAGCTTAAGGCTTCCAGGTACAGAGGTTCCATTTCTAAGTTCCATTTATACTGCTTTGATACAAATGTTCTTCATATTCAGCTTTATATTAATCAAAACAATATATGTATGCTTACTCTCATGCTCACAGACTAAATATACCCCAGCAACTACTAAAAATTCTTCAAAGGACTAATGATTCTGGCGACAAATCAAACGACACTCCTGCTCTCAATGTCCAAAAACTCCTATGCCAACAGTTTTCTCTAGGAAAGGACCCGCAAGGAAGAGTGGACTAAAACACAAGGAAAGGGTTAAGGGTGGCATGCTTTTAATTGGGGAAAAAAAACACGCACTGAGCACATTGCAGTAGTGGCAGGAGAGAAGAAAGGCAAGCTGCACGGAGAGGCAGACAGAGCGCAAAGATGCAGAGAGCTGCTGGTGCTGCTGTGCGGACGACAGTACCTGGAGAACCGTTTTCAGTTTCCCTACTGGTGACTCTCAGTGTAGGCACCTCCTCCTCTGCAGTCAACATACATATTCTAACCAGGTGCCCAACTTACTCAGAAAGCAACTTTTATCTGCAGCCTGTGTTACTTGCATCTCTCACTCCATGGGCCCCAAAGAACACTTTTTTTCCTTCTACTGGAGGCGAGACGAATTTAAGAACCGTCTTTTTCACGTTGAGATTGATTCCGACGTTGCATGTTCACACTGACACGGATGTTTTCATGAACTCAAGCCATTCCACATTTTCAAGTAGGCAGCCGCGTCAGCATGCGCAGGCTGCAAAGGAACAAGTAAAGGTTTATTCCACTCTGACAAGAGAACACACGCAGTGTTTCAGCTGTGGAGCCTTCTTCAGGTGACACCTGAAGAAGGCTCCACAGCTAAAACATTGCGTTTTTTCTTCTCTTTTTAGTATGGAATACGCCTTTGCATTTTTTTTGCATCTGCACTTGTTCCTTTGCATTCAACATTTTCTCCACTTTACTAGTGAAACAAACGTTACAAAACTATCACATAACTCTTTGCTTTGAAGCATCCCTAATTTTATCACTCTCCTGTACTGTTAAAAACTACATATATAACTAAACCGTCTGTAGTCAATAGTCTTGCCATACTGTCAGCTTACTTACAAAGAAAAGTCGCATGTAAAGATCTGGTAAAAACACACCGATGAAAAACACTGAAATAATTCCGAAACAATCCTTTCACTTTAAGATTTTCTTTGGGATTAAGTTAGGATTGTAGCATCAAGTATAGCTGAGGCATAGGGGTGACATCGCGCAGACACTCCTTCCTGTGCGAGTGCTCAAGCCCAAATCCAAGATCAGCTGACATGGCACAGACATTACACATGGCCCAGAGATCTTCCTCCATGAAGTGTGGACAACTGCCAGATCAGTGGTGTCATATGGTGGTGCTGACCTAGGGGTTAAACAGGTCCTGCCATCTCCAAAAGCAGAACCAGATTCCTCAGATAACAGCTCACAGATAGAATGCACTTCTGCAGCCCAGTGATGCTCAAGACACATCCTCACAGCTGCATGGATGCCAAATGACAGTCTTTAGGCTTAATAAGTGCTCTCTGATGCCCAGTGGTGTAAGCAGCATGACTTGGTGCTGTGGAAAAGTGAGCCCTCCAATTCTCATTTTGTATTGGGTCATTCAATGGAGCTCTGTCAGCAGATACCAACTCTGATGCATCTCAAAGGCTACATAAGGACTGTTCACATTGCAACATTCTCACATGCAATGTCCATATTCCCCTTCAGGTCAGCTAGGGCTCGTTACAGTGTGATGCTAACCAAGCAGATGCATCTCTAATGCACACGGGCACAAACTGTATTCAAACTCCCAACCACATCTCTTGCCACACAGAACAAAATGACAAAAGTGACTGCAAGTTCTAAAAGGAAAAGAGTTGTACATGTTTCTACAGGCTTATCACGACTGTCTCACCTTAAGAAAGTAGCACAGCAATCCTTAGAATTTGGGATGAAAATGCTGCAGTTCTGATGTCTTTCAGGATATAAATGAATATATGACATCTCAAAACTTACACAAAAAAAACAGGAGTCCTGTTTTCTTTAAAACAAAACTATAGGATTTTTCAGTTAATTCGTTTTACACGATACATTTAAAGGCTCACTGGCTCACTTTGCAGTAAAAAAAAACAGGAATAAAGCACATTTGCAATCTAGTGGTCTGCAGTGTCAATCCACTACAAGCAAACTGTATGATGTAATCACAGGAAATATTTACTGAAGAAAGTCATTAACAAGTATAAAGAGCCTCAACACAGTGCATCAACTATGAGGAAAGGCTATTAGTGCGGTAGAAAGTACACAGCCATGTTTAAACAGCAAAACAGTCCCCTTTTAAAATGTACTAAAACGTAACTTGCATCTCAAAATGACCATTCCTGGAATAAAACCGTCCATGAATGATTAATATGAATGATGTCACTTACTGTCATCTTGCTTGTTTTGTGATCTCTAAGCCTAACCTTTCACCTGGTCTTAGAGGCCTGTGGTGGCTTGTGTTGGGCAGAAGCCTGGGCGGGGAGATGGACTCCAGCGCAATGATGCCGTGAGGAATGCAACACCTTATCTACATTTAGATGTACGCATGCACAAAGAGTTGTGCACGATCCAGGGTTAATTCAAGGAATTTACGTTTCCTTTAATGATTTAATTACAAGCTGCCCTTTGCCTCAAATAATTTTGTACTAACAAATATTTAACATTCTTTGCCTTGGAAAAAAAAGGCATTCTTGGCAAATTATAACTCATTTTAAAAAGCAGCAACTATGTTGGAGTTCTGTAAGACTCCATTCTATTTTACCAAATAACCCTGAAAATCGGCTATTTAAAAAAAAGATTGTGACATCAGGAATAATCAAAGTAAAAGCTAGTATGCTGCAAACAGATAGGCTGGCGGGTCATTGAAAATGAAAGTAATTTTAGAAGATTTTTACCTGGAACTTAGAAGAGATAAACCAATAGCAGTTGCTTACTGGTGGGGGTTCAGGTAATGATCATTGCTATGCTAACAGAAGTACCAGAAAGAAGCTTGTTATTCATCAAAATAACCTTATCCGGTTTTATCCTCTTAAGTAATCATGAAATCAGATATTTCAGCTATTATTGACCAGCTATACTGTACAACAGCAAAGAAGCTCAATGAAAAGGAGAGAGGGTGTGTGCATGAGTTGGGGATGTTTGTGTAGTGTACAGGTTCTGTCTCATATCCCCACATCATGTCTGACAGTCTTCTGCAGATGAACTCCCAATACGCACTTAAATGAATACTACAGTATTCCTTTAAGCTGGTATGTGTAAGTCTATATGCATGCAGTGTCCACAGCAAAATCAATAAAAAACAGAACAGCAAACAAATCTACTGCTGCTCTGAATCTGGACTAGAAGACAATTTGTTCAACAGTGAGAATCACTTGCATCCTTACCACATGCACTCAGGAGTAATACACATACTTTAGTACTTGACAACTCGTGCTCAAACCTTAAATGGCTCATCTTCAGTCATTCGGATGTTTTTTAAGGCTGTCCCTGCTTTGAATTGCTTCATTCCTTGCACATCGTCTTAATGGATTTTTAATCATTGCCTGTGGCATAAGACTACAGGTAGCAAGCTCATTAAGGAACAGGGACATAAGACTATGAATGCGTGCTACAAGACTACTGGGCATAAAGAACTCGAGGACAGACAGGTGGCTGAAGCAGTAATGTCTAGCTGGGTGAGCAAGTCTAATAACGTGTGGCATGTACTGCTGATTCATCAGCCGATGAAACCAAATCCAATAATTCAAGACGGCTAACACTACATCCATCACTAAATGAATACCTAAAGCCCCTGACTACCCTGTGGCAAACAAAACCAAACCTTTAAGCACAGTCCTTTTCTTTCGGTTGGTTAATACGAATACATTTAACTGATCAGGCACAGATGTCTTGCAATACATCACTTTAAAATGTATCTGGGATCAGTTGATCCCCCGTTTGCTACACACAATTAATCTAACCACGAAAGATCCGCATATAACACCACGAACATCTTCAAGAGCGAGCGAGCAAGCCAACGTTTGGAAACGCACCCTGGGTCTTACCTTCGTTTATTTTGGACATGTCTACGTTGGCATTATTCAGCTGCAGCGTGGCCTGAAGTGCTGGGAGCAGCTGTCTCAGGAGGTTGGGGTCCTGCAGCAGAGGGGGAGCTGGGGACTGGGGTACGGGGGAGACAGGAACTGTGGAGGCCGAGGAGGCCTGAGTCCCTGAGGGGTTCAGCCCCGAACTGGAGGAGGAAGAGGAGGAGGAGGAGGAGGACTGCGAGGTACAGGAGTGGGGAGCAGGCTTCTCTGCAGAGGCAGACTCTGTGGACAGAGCAGAACAGTCGGTGTTAAAAATGTCAGCAGTGCCCATGAACCACTATTTAGGAACAGCACCACCTTGAAACAGCTGACCATTATGTCTACATTTCAGAGGAGAATACAAAAGGCTGCTGTAAAATCACTTAAGTCCTGCAGTGCAAAACACAGCTTGCTTATATGGAAACAAAACATTTTCACAATACATGAACTCACAATGCCCAATAATGAAACTATACTGAGCATCAAAAGACTTAACTGCAAACAAATCAACTAGGTTACAAAGAAACGGGGACACTGACTTTATTGAACAGACGTACTCTGGTTTCTCTTCACCTCATGCAAATTGATTAAGCTGAATGAAAAACCAGCGGGTTTGATCAAGAGGGAATCTACATTGAAGAGAGGTTAATAGAATGGGGCCACCAACGGAAGCAATACAAGCTCTACATCTATGATGCATGTCTTGCACCTGGTTCTGGATGCTCTTTGCTGGGAGTCTGTCTCATTAGTCTTGTAGAGTCTGGACAAACAAACCTGCTCACTGACCTCTTTGCCTTAGATGCCGCACATTGTGCTGGCTCAGTTAGCAAATGTTGAAGGAAGCTCAAGGGCATCTGTGACAAAAGTCTTAACGGCGACAGTCTTGTCTCTCAAGAGAGCCACAGTGAAATGAGCAGCACAAGGATGTGTGCTGTCCTACTTGAACAGTATCTTGTTGAGATGAGCTCGCAGGAAAGTCAGGATTTTCCCAGAACTTGTTCAGTGTAACAGTGCAGAGCCAGGATGCTATCAGTCACAACTGAAGCTTCCTAACTAGATAACCTCACTTGTTTGGCTAAAACATCAGCCCAGCCCATAAATCACTGACTGTGAACACCCCAGATGGCAAGACACAGCATGCTCATCTAGGCCAGGCTCCAACATACTGACGGCACGTAGGGTTCTTTCTGGTTCTCGAATGTCTGACCTGCTGAAAATCAAAAGATTAAAAATCACTCCTTCCCAATCAACACTGACCGAAGAGGTAATTTAGTGCTCATACACTAAACATTGCAATCAAGTGTAAATGATTAACTAAAATGATCAAATATTTAGTCAATTACCAAAATATATGCTTCATACGTCTATAAACTTATAGTTATAAATAGCCTCATGTTAGTAAGAACAATGATAATTGTCTCTCTACTGAAAACATCCGTTTCCAACAAGACTAAATCATGGCCTGCAGTAACAGCTACAAGGACAAAACAATCACTATGCTTGTATATGGGTTCATGGTGCTGAGCTTCAAAGGGAGACAACTCTGAAGTTGTGAACGACAATTTTAATTAAAATCACAATTGGCCAGGCATCACCTAAACCAAGCACTCAACCAGTCATACCATAATGTTAATATTTTTAGAAGGGAACTTTGGACCTCAACATAAAAATGCCACTATTTCACTTTTCATCTTTTTTTGCACAACCTGGTTACTTTATTTTTTCACCATATGCTTAAATTGCCCCCCTCTGGGGATGAATAAAGGGGCTGAATTGAACCACAGGCTCGCATGCAGAAAGTGCAAACAGCGTAGGACTTGCCAGACAAAAGATTTCCAACAACTGCACCAACAACGTAAATATTTGGTTTGCATTATCTTCTGATGCTTAAATCGTTCCCATCACAATAAGAAAAGTTAATTAAAAACTGGCAGTCATTTACCAGGATAGGAAACAACAAAGTAGTAGTACTGTACTACAGGTAGTGTACTTGTTTACACATTTACAAAATCTCAGCTTCCAGAGGTATTTATGAGAATTAATCTAAAAGTACTATAAAAACCTCTACTTAGGTGATTGACTGTAGTTTATCACTGACCTTCTCTTGTTAAAATTGTTAAAACTGACTCATTTTCATTTGGACCTATATCAAATCTCTAGATTGATTTTTTTCACATTGGAAATTGTCATTCATAAAAATATAACACTGACAATGAACAGAAATGTCAGTTGTTTCTTAAAATGTAGATATCCAATTGAACTTTAAATGGTGCTTACGTTAGTGTCTTCCTTGAAATGTCTCCCAAATTATGCTTTGCCATGCATAACCTAATTCCAATACATACAGAACTCCTGTAAGTCAAACATACAGTGCCCTTGACCAATCAGTAGTATTCAGACCCTTGACCAATTCTCTCATTTTACTGAATTACAAATCCTACATTAAAAGTTAGTTCTCTAGGGTATTTTAACTTCAATGAACTGAAACTCAAAACTAGGGTAGCTGTTGGAAAACTTTTGTCTGGCAAGTCTTAAGCCGTTTGCACTTTCTGCACTTGAGCCTTTTTGAAACATAAAACAATGTCACATTAAAATAATTAATTGAGTTTCAGCGCTTAAAAATAAAAATATCCGAGATCTAAATCTCAGTGTAGGATTTGTAATTCAGTAAATTGAGAGAAATGGTCAAGGGTCTGAATACTTTTGCAAGGTACTGTAACTAAGCCTCCCAATGAATTCCTGAAAAGGTCAACACTCCACAGAGTAACGCTATTAGTTCTGACAACCATATGCTTAAACATGATCATTTTAACCAACCAATAATTAATGATTATAGAAAGGATGACCACTGATTTAAATAAAGGGAGTTCATTAAGACTATCATTATTTTGAATTAAAATCTGCAAAAAATGTCTACATTTAGTCCATTTAAAGGGGGAACTGCAGGCCCGAGTTTTCAGACTGTTATTGAATGTCGGTAACAAATTAATTGATGGCATAGAAAAAAATGACCAATTTCAAATAAAGTACAAAATTGTGAACTTTGTGAAAGTATTGCAAGTTGCCACATTGTCGCAAACTTGCACCGACTTCCCATAAATTACGATTCACAAATGAGTGGCCCTTTCTGCTCATTAGGCACTGTAAGACAAATGTAACACGAGGTATGAGCAAATTAATACAGGTGGTGCAGCTGACATTTCACCGCAGGAAAGTTCCAACATGATCTGCACGCAGAGCTACTACTTATTTGTCGGCGAAAGCATCTCAATCAAAAGCAATATTTCTATTGAATTAAAAGACATGTAAAAGCCTTCTTGTTTGCAATATCATAGAGCTGCACACGTCATATGAAGTTCTGTCGCCTCATTCTATATCGCAGAACATGGAGCTGCGCACCCCTGGAAATGTAGTCTGTGTTGGGAAGTAAATTGGATGTACATTTTACAAGCTAGTGTGTGCATTTCAGTTATTGCGGTTTGAAATGCTCTCATTAATACTCATTCCTTCCAACCCCTAAATATGAAAATAGCATTGCCGTTGCCCTTTAAAAGCTATTAAAACGTGACAAAGAAAGCCTGACAGCCAGCAGGGCTGCCTTCAAGAGGTAATGGTAAATATTTTGATGCACTACAAGTCTATTTTGATACTTTTACAACTTCCGGTGGGAAAGTTGTGTATCAGATTTGTTCAAACTCCAGCTGGATACACCAGCGCTCATTTTCATCTTGTGCCGAGGTAAGCCTCAGAATCGTTTCTCAATTAAGTTTCCTCTTAGTGCTGTGTTCTCAACTCGGGGAATGTTAAGACCATTGGAGAGGAGCAGTAAGGCACTAATTGATTCTCAAAGCTTGCGTCCAAATAGTACATCAATTAAAGCAATGTTCGGACACAATGTCCCAGAATTCAAGTTAAAACTACCCTACACAGTTCCCTTGACGCAAACTTATGCCTCTTAGAAAACTGCCGTCGTCTAAGGTGCTATTACTACAACAGTCTGAGCACTTCACTGCAAAGACAGCCTATCCGTTCAGCATCAGAACTGCTCACTCCTGGTAAGGGACATGGCAACCTGGAGAGGCTGGAAATACAGATCACACAGCAGGGATACAGCTTTGGAAAGTGAGGGGAGACCAGAGCACACAAAATATACCCATCACACCCAGGACCCAGAAGAAGCAGTGCTAACTGCTATGTCACTGTGCCACCCAGTGTAGCAACAAACACCAAAGACCTATATTACAATTTCTGGAATGAAGTGAAGCAGTCACTAAACTACAGTCCAGAAGGTGGCAGCAGAAAGACTTATTTGGCCTGCAGAAGCAGTACTAAAGGAAATAATTAGATTGTCTGCCAATCCCACTGTCTACCCAAGTGAAACAGCATTGTTTTACTAAGCATTGTGCATCTTTCAAACATATTCCAGATCATGTAAAATGCCAACAGTGTAATTGTGAAGAGAGAGAAAGGCTAAAAATACATCAAGGATGGCAAGTTTTTCAAGATTACATGACATACTACAGTAACGCACCAACACTGCGGAAATCTCTGCTGGAGACCTGAAGCTTCTCATCCGTACTTAAAAGCAATTAAAACATTTCTTTAGGCTATTGCTTCCCAACTTTTAATATGGACATGTTTTTTTGTGTCAGGTTTTCTACCAACAGTATGTTGATTTGTTGCCTAATCCGTAATGTGCTCAGGTCTTGACACAAATGGTACTATATAAAACCAAGGCACTGTATTAAAACATTGCTGGACAGAAAAACATATACACATTTTATACACACGCTCAGGCATCTTAAATGACAAAAGCTTAAGCCATTTACAATCCTGACACACATTTCAATTGCACTCAAGAGTTACGATTCTTAGCAGGCACCCCTCATCTGGGTGACACATTTAGTCAATGCAAATTTTCTATAAGTCTCACCCACAGCCTTAACCTTGTGCATTTATATAAAGTTTAGGTGCATATCCAGAAATTGAAGTTTCCTCACCTAACAAATTTCCAGGACCCAAGAGCAGGCAAGTAGCAGCAAACACTATTGATGTACATTAAAATAATTAAATCAAATTTCACTAAGAAATATATTAATTTAGCCAAAATTTAATAATGAACAGAACAAATAAAAAGTATTCTTGTTTGAATGAAATGCATGGCCATCTTCAGTCTCAGTTTTTTGGTAAACAGTTTTTGATATTCATCAGCTATAGATCAGCTTTGTGCATTTTTTCCATCCTTGACTAAGGAGGCCAGCAAACTAGGACACAAATGGGTACGATTAATAAAACAAATAATTTTAATACAGGGCAGTTCACGGATGTTTTCACAAAACCGCCGGACGTTTCTGGAAATACTGCATACACCTTACAATACTGATTTCTGGGTGTTTAAAGTCCCACCGATTAAACATGGGTAACAGCTTTATTTGTACACTGCAATATTATTCACAATTTGATATCAATAAAAAAAGATCAAGAAACAAATCAACATTTTGTTTCATTAAGAATCTTATCATGGCAGCCGTTTAAAAGAAAATGTTACACACTGAGCTCTGCAGCACTCTGGATAAGGCTCCCCCCCCCCGTTAAAGAGTACAACAGTGAAGGAGAGTACTGTTCTTCTCGTTTCATTGCAAACAGTGCCTACAAGCATATGTTGGATTTTTACATTAAGGTTAATGCAAGCTGGAAGCAGCAAGTCTTGATAACAGGAAAAAAAAGCCAGTGTTCATGTAACAGAGTGGGATGTTTTCCAGGTTGCTTCCCACGTTCCTTCACAAATTCAAGTACTCCAGTGCGTGCACAAAGTTTCACTTCCCTTTACTGCAGTTTGCCTTTCCATGATTCTGTAACTCTTGGGTATGATAATGCTCTTTCAAACATTATATTGTTTTCAGCTTGCCATTCATGAGTCTGGGCATGCGCGCAAGCAATGGATTTGACACGATAACAGATTTTAAGTATCCAGAATTTCCTGAGGAAGATGCCGTTATCTACAGTATCTCACAATGTACAATGAGACTGCATTTTAGAACACTAGCACAAAATATAACATTGTTTCCTGAAAACAGTTTGCATCAACCTCATCTCTCTGTGAAGAACCCAGTACCTTTCCACCTACATTTGAGTTTCTAGCATTCTAATTTCAAGACAAAACGGAAAAACCTTCATCCGTGGTTAAACAAGCATGATTAAAGACTGATGGGACAGCTACACAACTAACATCACAATTTTCAAGAGCAAATAAAAAATAATTCCACTTAAAGCAAGGTTTTAGAACAACTTTCTAATTCATGAAGGGTGACTGAACCAACCAACTAGTTTGCTACAACTGGACAAACTTGCAGGGAATCAAACAGTTCATGCTACAGGTCTAAAAAAAAAAAACAATCTTCTTAAATAAGCACCTTTTCTATGAACTGTTGAAACAGCACTGTTGCGTGCATTCATCATATTCTTTCCTTCTTTTACGCAGTAACTAGTTTATTCAGGGCAAAAGAACTTGCTGACATTTCAACGGACTTTGGGGGAAATTTACAAACAAGTGAGCAACCAAACCCTTATATGCATTCGGCAACAAGCTGCCGAACACCCTGTAGTGGCTTAAAACCTCGAAATACCGACATTTTAAATATCATTTTGACTGCATCTCGGAAGGTAAAATTCTCAGTATGGGTTTGAACACACAAAAAATCATGCTAAGCTAGTCTATCCAAGTGAAAAATCATCCACTGCATTGTTATGCCTTAATATAAAGCATTTTCAGAAGTCATCTTTATACATACCTCTGTTTTCAGTTTTCAGTACTGGAGTAGGTAAGGAGAATGTTGGTAGATTCAATAAAACAGCAGCTCCATTTGCAGCAAAGGATTTGTTTGGCTGGCGGCCAGGTTGTTGAGTAAAAGCATTAGAAGGAATAGCGCTTGGGGCAGCAGCTGCTGGGTGAACCACTGTTTTGCTGGTATTCTGTACTGGAGCAGCACTACTGTGAGTCTCTACTCTGGTCACTCGGTAGTCTCTGTCACTGTGTCTGCTTGTCAGGGGCAAAATACTCTGAGGGTGCGCATTACTGGCCTCACTGGAATGCTTCTCTTCCACTTTAGTTCACATTCACAGTGACGTTGCATTGAAAATAAAGGGGAAACATTACCATTAGGACGGTATTTAACCGGCGAAAGGCCTAGCAAAAGTAACATGCCATCTACTGCTGACTTATTTTTCCCTATTAAAATGCACGTCTTACATGGTGCTACTGTTGTACTGGATGCTTCAGATGTCTACTATTTTAGACATAATGGACAGAAATCTCAATACACTGACAAGAGATGTGCAAAGCCTACCTGTAATCAATAACAGTAGCATCCACTAATTAGCAAGGCTACTTTTACAGATGCCAATTCCAATAATTCAGCTACTCGGAAAACAAATCACATCTACAAACAATGTTTTCCCACTTGTACAGTAACTGCTCAGCGTCACACACCAGTTCACCAGTTAACACTCGATACTTACTTGCAGTGGAAAACCCACTCGTAGCTGTAGCCTGCATTGCCTCCCGTCTGTAATCCCTGTCTTTCGGGAAACTGTTAACGACTGCCATCTTACTGGCTTCCTTTTGTCTCTGCTCTCTGAAACATCAAGACAGAAGCAGATACCGCATCAATTTAATACTCCAAAATCAAACGTATGGCATAAAAATACATATAGAAAAATGATGTACCTCTCAAGCCACTCTTTGGGTTTCTCCCACTGTGAAACCTCTGTTCTGCAGTTGTAATAGTATTTCTTCCCAGAAGAGCTAATGTGTTCAGACCAATCGTCTGCAGGTTCATAAGGCTGTAAAAATAAAGCACTTGGTTACAGATGACTAAACAAACAGAGTTACAATTGGGGATAAAAGAAGCTTGAAGCTGGTACACTCAGTATGCTTTGAATCGGGGTAACACTTTTATGAAGTTTGGGGGAAAAAAGAGATTTGAATCATTTACATGTACTTATACAAACAACCACAGAGAAAAGTCATGCTCTAAAATCAAAAGGGAATTAGGTGACAGCTGAAGATACACCTTGACAAAAGGGAGCATTATATCAATGTTAGAGATAGTACAGACAAAAGCTTCCTAAACATAAAAAGGAATCTTTAATTTTAAAATGGAAAAGGTACAGAACAACAGCTATCCTACTGCTGCTAAGGGCTCATTTACATATACTAAGATGAATAAACTGAAGAATAACCTTATTACCAATTCACAACCTGTAAATCTGCATTAAAAGATATATTGTAAACTATTTTACAGTTTGCTCCCTGAAGACAAGTTCTCTCAAAAGTACACAAATTTGAAGGATTTTGCAATACTTTTATGTTAATCTCCAATTAAAATACTGTTCTCAAAGGGTAAAACAATGTTTCAAATCTTTCAGCAACTGTTAAGTTTGAGTTGACAATATAATTTGTGAAAGACATTTACAGAATATTTAAAAATGTTATGTCAATTATAAACACTGTACAGACAATCTCACAGTTTTATCAGCTCCAACACAGTTCACAGAACAAACATGTGCAGATCTCCAGCTATGCTACAGGGAGCTCTGTAACTCTAAATGATGCACACCAGTCACAAATGGCAAATACAGGCCAAATCGTCTCTGTACATGTGTGCTCATATACCATAGCAGTGGACTACCTACCAAAAAATCTTTGGATTTAACCTGTAATTTTAGAATACCGCTCCATATACCTTCCTAAAAAATAGCAGACAGGTTCTGTTTATAAGGGTCACTTGAACTGACAACTGAAAATAACCGGTTTCTTATGTTAAGACAAACAAAGAACATCAATTCTGTAACAATTCTGGAAGTTTTTCCACATAAAACCCCGAATGATTAATTTAACAGCTTAACTATTTCCCCCAAAAAAATACAAATGCTTAAAAGGCTGTTCTTGATACTTATGGAAGAATCCACAATGAAAAGTCATCATTTTCAAAAACCTCAAACAGAACCACCTTTACAACATTCTAGAAACCATCAATTTTTTGGAAGGCTTGAGATGCTCGAGTACTTTTCACTGCACAATTCACACTGTATAATTTCTGTACACTGCACAGAATTCACCGCATAAGACCTATGTCAGTTTATTCAAATGTATTAGCCAATCTACCAACCTGCTCTAAAACTTAAACTTAAAGAATTGCATAGCTGTGCACTAATAAGGCAATAATGGAATTTTGGCCATCTGTTTCAATTACCACGACTTTATTCAGTTGACATTTTTACCCAAAGCAACTTATACTTCCTCCTATCTTGTACTGGAGCCGTGTGAGTGAAGCACCTTGGTCAAGGGTATAACAGGAATCCCCCACCCACCCCCCAGCCTTGAATCTGAGCCCACTCTTTTCCACACTGTGGCCCCACACCACGGACAACCTCTTACAGGCTACAGGCTTTATTGAATTTAGAACCTCAGCACGCAAGTGAAATTGAATCACTTCAAGATGTCAGTAGAGCACTTCATAAAGGCTAAAGGCTGAAGGGGCTGCTGTTTCATGTGGCATTTTCACATCATCACCATGCCTTCAATCAAAAAACATTCAACAGAAATCAGCTGTCTCTCTGCTCAGCCAGAATCTTGCTGAAACAAGCTCACATTCATATACAAGTACAACGAGAGAAATGAAGACCAAGACAGGTTACCCGTTGACTCGTATTAACCTTTAAAGGCCTGGAGCACGTCTGCAGGAATCTTCAAACCTGTTCATAATTTGCTTAATTTACAGATAGAACATTTTACTCAGATTCCTGTTAAACTCTATTAGGAGTAGATCCTATAAATAAGGAGAAAATCAAACACTTGTTTTCTCAAAAAGTATGTAAATCAATTACATTATTAATGACATTTTAATTTTGGTGATATTTATAAGGCTTGGGATAAAACAATGCTGCCAATCTACAATCTGCTTCTTCCACAAAAGAAAGCAAAAGGTATGAAAGAGCCACTTTCATAAAACTTCACATCTCTGTTAGAATGCAGAAGAGGAGTCCAAAAATACTACAAGCCAGTGGTTCCTCAGAGCAGTGTTTCTCAATCACCAGCCCAGGGACGGCAGGTGTGTGCAAGACTGAATTCAAGAAATTCAGGAGAAAGTGGCTCACGTTTATTCAATTGAAAAAAGTTGTCAGTTTCACAAAATTTAATTCACTGCTCAAAGTAAATGGACGTGCTACCCAGTTAGCTTCCTTCTAGAGTGTTAAGTGCAGAAAAATAATCTATCCCCAATCCTCTGCACACATTTTGTACAACTTGCCATAATTATTTGCCTCACATACAAGAAGCGGCACGCTAACCGATCAACGACCTGCTTATCCATCCATCTGACCAGTTAAGGTCAAGTTTGATTAAAGATGTTTCTCCGCTGTTAGTTCCATCTTGGTAGATAACATAGCTTCACTATTACAGAAAGCACCACAGACATTTAAATACTAAGTACCAAACATTATTAATTTGCTGAAGTTAAAATTAGAACATTGCTGAATGTATTTATCCAGTTATTTCATAGCTACAGATTATGTAACATGCCACACATCTAATAATAAGTGTGTTTCAGGTATGTGCGACTCAGTCTCATGTAGAATGCAGTGCGTGGTGGAATATACAGAATGTTAAAGAATGACGATACACATCTCTGCATGCAGTTTAGTCAGGTACATGTCAGAGTACTTCTACTTCGGTACAACGTGCACGGTCTATTTAAGGTGGTCAACTAATTTTAAACATTTCACTAGGAGTCAACAGATGAGAAAACTGTGCAAAAGCACTGACCACCTTACCTGTACTGAACACGGTGAGATTCAGATAGCTCAATCTGTGGAACCACAGCTTGCACACTTTCATTTCATGTATATTTACATGCAGGCCAGCCCAATTAAAAGGTTATGTAAACAAATGTAAAAAAAGGCACATCATGACAATTCTGAAACACAGCCAACTGGTATCTGGCATCAGAAATGTTGAGAAGCTCTGCTTTAAACTGCCCAGTTAATTGTTTCATGTAGTTGGCGAACAGCTAATTGAATTCCATACTTTTCAACATCCAGGCTGCCTCGAGGCCTGATTTCCTCTAGTCTTGCAAGCTAAGCAGCAACAGGCTGGCTCCGCTGTTCAAGTGAAAGGGGACACTTGTTCCTATGGACTAGGAATTCCAAACCCAGCTAGTGTCTAGGCGACAGGGGTGTGGGAGGTTCCACGTTCTAGATGGATTGATCACCTAATGTCTGGTAATCAAAGATGGCAAAAAAAATGCCTTAATGAGCCGATAAGTCCATAGACTCCATTCAAAATCCTCAATGGCACTGAATAAAATCAGCTGTGAACCACAAACCAAAAGATAAAGAGGAAACTTGTAAAAAACAAGAACAGGAGGCACTTTTTAACAGAAAATGTTTTATCATCTGAAATCTTATTTTGATTGCATGTACTACAAATGCCCAGTATCTATACCACCATATACCTTGCTACTTGTACAGTTATAAATTGTATTCTTTGACTGCACAGTTAACATTCTAAACAATGTGTTCAGTAAAAAATGGATTAGTTGGTGTAATGTATTGTTAATGTTTACTGTAAAGATCATGCAAATTTCTCCACATAACTGCTTTATAATACATTTAAAAAAAGCTTGCATAAAGGAGTGCAGGTAATTCTTACTTGTTATAGCAATTTATCACGCCAAACTAGTCTAAAGACACCAAAACGTAACAGGTCTACGTCTAGTTACAAGCACTTCCAATGAATGAGACTTACATTTTTAAAGGGAGTTTAGTGTTGTTTTTACCAATTTGCACCTATGAGTGTAAATTTCATAACCAACTTTGTGCATCTATTGAGGCATTTACTTCTAAAAGGAGACGCACACCCAAGATCAATGAGTTGCTATCTAACAGAAGTTGATCAGAAAGTTAAAGTAGGATGTATATTCTAAATTAAATTACATCATGCATCAAACTGTCAAGATATCAGCCCAAAACGTTATGCAAAACAGTTAATTTATCAATACATTTAACACAGGGTTCGATAGCATTTTTAAACTAGAAGTGTAGCCATTTCTCCATTCACCAGCAATACCACCAGTAATTTCATGTCGATTAGCATATGAAAAGTACAACTTTTGCAAACTCTAAATGCCACAGTCTTGGTTAGCATTGACTAAGTGTAAAAATATAACCAGAGTATCAGTCTTCTATAGCAATAATAAATCTAGTGTACTGCAAGTACAAATTTGAGCTTTCAAATGAGAAGAGTACAGGCATGCATTGTAATGAGCGGATATGCCCTGGGCTGCTAACTGGTATTTCACCTCTGCATAACTTAAGTGTAAGAACATGCTTTCCCCCCTGTAAGATTGCTCGGTTAGCCAATTGAAAACCAAAAGGCTCATTCAGCTCTTATTTTAAATAAAGCCAGGGTATTGGGTTCAACAAGGCTGGGCAGCCGCCCACAGCCTTATGCTATTTAAGCTATATTCTGGATTGGACTATGGATAATGAAAGTGTAGTGATTATATTTTATTATTCTAATAATTCAATAAGTCTTGTGCATGCTGAAAGCAATAGGTATTCTTGCACAGAATGAGAAAACAACACTTATAAAATGTACATATCAGCATCTAAAAAAGGACTGATACCCTTCTTATCTAATACCATTACCATTTAGCGAATACCATTGGCTGTCAGGTTTTGAGAATCTGTTCATGGCTGGGAAAACAATTACAGCCGGCCTATAGCACTAAAACACGGTTTATCATAACCCACTGGCACAAGAAAAATGTGGCAAAACCAGG